TCACTTGGGGAGAGGCAAAAAGCATTTTTGATGCAGGGTCTCACAGGATGTAGCCCTTGGTTGTCCTGTTCCTGATTCTCTTCCTGACTTTCTTTACTTTTTGTTTGCCACGGACATTCTCCTCATCTGTCTCCATATCGTGAATCTTAGACTTCTCCGTCTTCCTCCTCTTTCTTGCTTTCCTCTTCCTCTGTCTAATCTTCACTGACTTTCCTCTCTCCTATTTCTCCAGCTAAGTCTCCAAATGTAATGATGTGTTGTAGTGAGTTTAGCAACAGCAAAGCCAGAGGCCAGGAGCCAACACCGCAGCCTGCTCAGACGGCCAAACCCATACTTACAGAGAATGATGGGACAGCCCATGAACTGTGTTTTCAGAACTTCCTTGAAACCCTCTCCCTAAATGTTCTGTCTGAATTTGTTTGAGGTAAAGAATTGGATTCAATGAGTCACCTATAAAAAGATTTTCATAATAAAGTATGAGGACATGGAATTTAAACTTCACCTAAACATTTAAAATACAGTGTTGAAGACTTGACTTACTCAGCAATTTCCACCAACCACCACAGTGAGCGCAGACAGCTCACTGTTGTCTGCATGGACCAGAAAGGGGCCACCAGCAGAGGACGCCAAGGCATGCTGCTCATCTTGGTACTCCGTGTTTGCAACTCCTTTCTCTGCCACCAGAAAGCAGAATCAAATCCAGAACCAATTGCGCAATCATGTAGATGCTCCCAACAGCCAGAGGGAGGATTCTCAAAGTTGAGAGAGCCAGCAAGATTCCTGTGCCCAAGGAAAAGCTCCTGCCCAGCCAACATTACAACCCAGGTTTCAAACTCCATAACCTAATTGTTATAGTTTTCCTCTACCCTTCACATACACTCATTCTAAAACTTAGTACAGGCACCAGTCAAATAACTTTTGAAAATTTAGGAAGACAAAAGCAGTAGTAAACTCAGAATGGTGTGGGGGAAAGGCCAGGCACCCTGACAGTGTTTCTGCCAGAAGCTGCACTGGTTGTTATGTCTTATTTCAGTTCAGCCCTGGTCCTGTCGATGTCTCTGTCTAGCAAGGACAGGCTGCATTCCAGAAGAATAGAGATTAGGCCATTTTTCAGCATCTTAGTGTTGTCTAACTTAGAAGGTTCTTTTGGGTTCTCAGGTACATTATTGTATCAGCCCTAACAGGCCCTTCCTTCCCCTTCAATCTTGTGGCTGATTTTTGGGATCAACGACTGCACTGTTCCTCAGCCACCCCATGAAGGTCACAGTACACATCACTTCTCCCACTTCTATAAAGTTTTAAGAATACAGCGGAACACTCCCTTCTGAAGCCATAGTAATCAAATCCTGTGATAAACTTTCCTCATTTGAATAGAAAGTTTGGTTGACGGGGAACGTGGGCTGTGTGGTTGTGTCTGAAAGGCAAAGTTCTCCAACTCTTCCTCTGGCACATATGAACAAACAGATCGTGTGTTATAATGGGACAAAATGGTTGCACATTGCAAAATCCAAGGGTTTACCTGTTTCAATTAAACTACTTATTCAGAGGCACAGTTAAAACTGCTTTTAGTCCCAAGAGATGAGAAATGCTATTTTAAGACCACCTTGAAATTCCAGTGAGAAAGGAAATCAAGAGTGGGAAATATTCAGAAGATGGTTCTTCAGACAATGGAAGGTCAGACTTTCTGAACTGTATGTTCGAGTTCAGCTAGGCGGGCAGAAATTTACCAGCTGCTGATATACCTTGGAAAAACACAGATTTATAATTCCCTACATTAAGTACCACAGAGAACACATGTACATAGAGATGGGCAATTTCTTAACTAACTAAATCTTTTGCAAAGTTATTTTGTCAATGAAAAAGAAAAGTCAGAGAAATAGCAGCCATTTCCTTGTGCTGTTCCCCATGGGATTTAGCTGATGAAGCAATTGAGCAGTGCCATGTAGCAGGGCACAGGAGTGGAGGTGCTCAGGGGCAATTACATCAGGACAAAGAGCCGACGGGACAAAAGCTCCACCATGACTGCTCACTGTTAATACCAACATAGGCCCCAAACTCAAGGAAAATAGTTGCTCAACCTGTCCCAAGCCTAGTCACTGCACAGCATGCATGGGAGGGAGCAGCAAGGGGAGGAAGCCCTGCTATACCCATACCCAACACCCAGCATCTAGTCACCGCTGTGTCAACCAGAAGCTTCCAGAATAATCTGAGCTCTTGAGAGAGGAGAAAACTATGAATCTTTCTGTTCCTGACTCTTCCCCATTTTTCCTCCCCCACTGGCTGCAGAGGAAAGTTCCACAGGGAAAGCACACTGGCTTCCATCAGCACTGGCAATGCCTGGACCCTTTTCCTAAACCAAGCACCTCGGGAAAGTCATCCAGGAGAGGTGGCAGTGCCATCCATGCCTGGCTGTGCTGTCTCACGCCTGGAACAGAGAGTCGGTGAGAAGAAGCTTCTGATCCAGCCCCTGCCTTTCGAATCGGGAGGTAAATATGGCATTGAGCTGTATACGCGGCTCCAAACGGGCAACAGCCACCTTGACGAAACAAGCTATGTCCCCTGCCTTGGGGTCTCCTGATCTAGTCACCACAAGGAGACTTCTGGCAGACTTATGCTCTGGAAAGTTACGAACAGCTGAAGACATCCTGAGCATGTCTCCCCACAGGCCGCAAGTCACTGGCGCCTTTGGGACAACAGATAGGATCTTGGAAAGGAACAGCCTGGAGCAGATGGGGGTAGGCAACCAAGGCAGCACCTGGAGGGTCCACAGAAAGGAATCTGGTTAGGGGTGACTGTTCAGAGCACCACCGCCCTTCCAACCAGAACTCACAACTTCAGCCCCTCCCTGGGAAAGGAGTGACATCCAGCTAACCAATCGCATCTGCCCACCCCCATGACGTGCAAAAGTCGTGGTCAAATGGACTGGAGGGGGAGGGTAGTCAGGGAACCTGTACAGCTGAGTCGGGAAGTCAGTCTTCTCTGTCTGCCTGAGAAGGAAGAGTTGCTCTCGCCCTACAGCAATTTCTTCCAACAGTGCTTGGTCTGGTGCAAAGGTAAGTGAGAACCCAGACTTCAGCTTTTGTCTGCCCAGGGATGTGGGGTGGTGCTGGCCAGTTTGATAAAGTCCACCCCACTTGCCGAGGACAGTGTTTGCTGGGGAAGGGAATGTAACAGGGAAGAAAAAGGAAAAACCCTAAGGTGCCTCCATTTCCAGTTTTGTGAAATAAGAAAGACAGTCTGGGTTGTAGCTTGGTTACCAGAGCGCTTATGTAGCTTGCTTCGAGCCCTGGATTCGATCACTGGTCCTAGGACGTGGTGGTACTTGCCCTGAGAAACGGCACTTAAGAGGTAAAAGCATGAGGAACAGTTAAAGATCATCCTCAAATATATCATGTCTCAAAGAAAAGTAAGAAGAAAAAGCAAAATGGCTTTTTTAGATCTGGGCCACAGCCTGGATGTCTCTAGCAGGGGGGTGAAATGGACTGTTCTGTCCCTTTAAGAGACAAGCCCCACCCACTCCCTCCCAACCAGTCAGAGTTCCGGGTTGCTGCTGCCTGGCTCCTCCTCTCCCTCCTCTTCTCCCCACTTTCCTCTCTGTGCCTCTTCCCCCTTCACCCCTTCGCTTTCATAATCCTCTAAATAAACATCCAAACTCACTCTAACCATCTGTCTCTCACCGTCAGGAGGCTCCCTGCCTGAGACTTCTGCTCCTCGTACCCGCGGGCCCCTCATTTTTACCATAATATTTGCAGCTCCCTGACTGGCCTCCTGGCCCGCTCTCTACTGCAGCCACTGAGGGAACCCAAAGGTGCCGTTTTATTTTTACCATAACAGGGGGTACTGCAGCCCCTCTATGAAGCCAAAAGTCTCCCTTCTCCAGGAGGTAGCTTCTTCCTGGTTACCAGTTTAGGCACAAACCACTCCCAAACCCTTGCTTACACAGAGAGATCCTTTCCTAAGCAGGGAAGGAAAGTGAAAGAGGCCGCTTTCTGACTCAGGCTGAAGAACAACAGGAAATGCCCTTGCAGGGGAGAAAAGAGGGAGGTTCCTGTTAGACGGGGCTAGGTTGTGGTGGCTTATTTTAATTGAGCATGTTAATCAGGTGAAAGAAAGTTTCCAAGGTGCCTTTGGTTGTGGGAATTTAATACTTTGGTGGCTGGAATTTGGCAATCCAGGAGGAGGAGGTGGGCAAGTGAGAGAATAGACCTTGGTAGCCCAATTTAGCAACACAACCTAAGGGTCTTCAGCGGGGTAGAGGCAACTGGGGAGAAGGACTTGGTGTTCCAGAGCCACAAGCTCAAGCGCAGCAGCCACAGGGCCATGTTTAAACTCTAGACCCAGGGAGCCATCCTTCTCTCCTGTCCAGGAGAGTAGGCCATGGGAAGACTCAGGGAACTGGGGAGAGGAAAGGGTGATTTTGTTGTTATTTTGTTTTGTTTTTCGAGACAGGGTTTTCTGTAGCTTTAAGGCCTGTCCTGGAACTAGCTCTCGTAGACCAGGCTGGCCTCGAACTCACAGAGATGTGAGTTATCATCTCTGTGAGATGTGAACTCACAGAGATGTGCTGAGATTAAAGGCGTGCGCCACCACTGCTCAACATGAAAGATTGTTTTTTTCAGAGGGACTTTGAAGGAACTTGGTTTATGTCAAAATAAAAAGGCAGTAAAATGGCAGGGAATGGGACATGGAGAGAAGCAATAGGAGAACGGAGGGAGAGAGAACATCATCAAGTTGTGAGATACAGCCATCATCTCCGAAGCCTCCGTCCGACCCTTGTGATAGGTAGATGGACGTATCTCTCTCAGCCCAGGAGCCTCTTGTGCTCAGATCAGTCACAGGTATGAGTAACAGATTGTGCCCCTTGCCATTCTGACCCCTCAATCCCAAGTCCCTCCATAGAGGCTGCCTCGCTGGAGCCTGGACATCTGAGTCCAGTACAGGCCAGAAGAAGAGAGAAGTCAGCTAGAAGGGCAGTCTCCTCTGGACTCTGCTCTTTCCTGGAAGGAAAAGAAGTGAGCTGGAAGGAGGCAGACAGTGCAGCCCTTCTGTTCCCGTGTGGTCACACACTGTAGAGCTCCCCAGAGACAGGCCTGTAAAGGAAGAGAAGGCTGACAGAAGGAAGGCAGGGTGACTTAGGAAAGTCGAGGCAGACATTCTTTCTCAGCCTCCTAACTTCGAGCTCCCAGCCTGCTTCTTTGTGGAATGTCTCACGGGGCTGTCGTCCACTCTACCTTTTCCTTTCTGATCACACAGCATAAACTCTGGGAAGCCTTTATTTCCGCTGACCGCCAACAACCTCCAAGCCTAGGCATTCTGCCCCCACCAACAGCTTCCCCGCGAGACTTAGGGCTCTCACATGGTCACCACTCATTCTACTGAGGGACAGCCCTGGAACTCTTCATGAAATCCTATGTGATATCAGGAAATTCCTTCAGGGCCCTAAGTGCATGCAAAGCAAGCAAGGTATTAGAGTAGGCAGAGAGAGAGGGCCATGAAGATGGTCAGCCAGATAGGTACTGGGCTAAAGGACAAAGACAGACAGTAACGCTCTCCAACATTGCAGAGCAACAGCAGGAGCAAAAGCCTGGCCACCATTGAACTTCGCAGTCAGCAGCTGTCAGGCTGTAAGGAACAGGACATGGCTCAGCTCGGGCTGGCCCCCATAGTCTCTGTCTTGGCCTGGTTCCCTTTGGGATTGCTGATAGATAGGAGTCCTGTTAAGTGCATAATGTCTATGTAGGCAAGAATGGCCTTGAAATTCTGATTTTCCTATCTTCACCCCTCAACTGATGCATCTACAGGTTTGTAATACCCTACTTGACTTCTGAGGTGCCCTGGGACAAACTCTGGACGTCACGAAGAGTGACAGGTAAGCAGTCTTAACGACTGAGTCACACCCCAAGTCCAAAATATTGGAGTAGAATTCTTCTGTGTCGATGTTTGTGCATTATACATGAGCCCATGCAGTAGACATGGCTGGAGACATGTCTCTGGTTATGTGAGCACTGTTCTTGCAGAACACCTAGGTTCAGCTTTCAACTTCCACACCAAGTAGCTGTCCACTGGCTGTACCTCAGTCAGTAGGGACTCTGCCGTCCC